GAGTATTTTGATGGGGTTTGTGTTGGATTTGTGGATTGCTTTGGGGAGTATGGCCATTTTCATAGTGTTGATTCTTCCAGTCCAAGAGTACAAGAAATCTTTCCATTTCTTTGTGTCATTTCGGCTTTCAGAGGATAGGTAACCTCCTTGGTTAAGTTTATTTCTAGGTATTTTGTTGTTTTTGATGAAATGGAAATGTCGCTGCTAGTTATAAAATTCTGGTTTTTGAGGTGGAAAAAAGAAGTGAATGAAGGGCTGCAAATGGCAAAATGTCCTTCTTTTTTATAGGTGAATTGTATTCCATTACCTATATGTATGCTGCATCTTATTTATCTATTTCAACTACTGATGTGCACTTAGGATGTTTCCATATCTTGGCAATTGTAAATAATGTTGCTGTTAATAGCAAGGTGTATGAATCTTTCTGAATTAATTCTTATTTTGTGGTTGGCTTTATTCCTTTGATAACTATGTAAGTCTAAAAAGCTGAAGTTCTAAACCTTCTTAGAAACAATGAACAGTACATGTATGTAAATTTTAAAATATATGTGCAGTAAAAAACAAAAAGGAAAAGAAATGAGCTATCAAGCCATGAGAGACATGGAAGACATATTACTAAGTGAAAGAAGCCAGTCTGAAAAGGCTACAAACTGTACGATTCCAATTAAATGACATTCTGGAAAAGGCAAAGCTACAGAAACAATAAAAAGATCATGGTTTCCAGGGGTTTGGGGAGAGGGAGGGAGGAAGGGATGAATAGATGGAGAACAAGGGGCTTTTAGGGCAATGAAATTATTCTCTATGATACTATAGTGGTGGCTACATGTCACTACGCATTTGTCAAAAGCCACAGAATGTAGAACATCAAGAGTGAATCCTAATGTAAACTATGGATTTTGGTGATGATAATGTGCTCATGTTGGTTCATTGACTGTACCAAATATGCCACAGTGATGAGGGATGTTGAGGGTAGGGGAGTATGTATGTGTGGGTGGGGAGGGCTATGTGGGAACTCTGTATTTTCTGCTCAATTCTGCTGTGAACCTGAAACTGCTCTAAAAAAGCCTATTAAGTAAAAATAGACTTACCATATGATCCAGCAATCCCACTCCTGGGCATAGATCCAGAAGGAACCCTACTTCATAAAGACACCTGCACCCCAATGTTCATAGCAGCACTATTTACAGTAGCCAAGACACAGAACTAGCCTAAATGTCCATCGACAGATGACTGGATAAAGAAGTTGTGGTATATTTATATAATGGAATACTATTCAGCCATAAAATGACAACATAATGCCATTTACAGCAACATGGATGTCCCTGGAGAATGTCATTCTAAGTGAAATAAGCCAGAAAGAGAAAGAAAAGTGCCATATATCACTCACGTGTGGAATCTTAAAAAAAATGACAAATGAACTTAAATATAAAACAAACAGACTCACAAACAATACAAACTTGTGGTTGCCAAGGGATTTTGTAGGTGGGAAGGGACAGACTGGAAGTTTGAGATTTGTAGATACTGACAGGTATATGTAGAATAGATAAACAAGATTATACTGTATAGCACAGGGAAATACATACAAGATCTTGTAGTAGCTCACAGGGAAAAGGAATGTATGTACATTCATATATGACTGAAAAATTGTGCTGTACACCAGAAATTGACACATTGTAAACCAACTGTAACTCAATAAAAAAAAAAATACTTTGCACCTAATTCCTTACACAGCCCTGTTAGTAGCCCCACTCTCCACACGATGTTTTCTGAATAGGAGACAACACCAAGGTCATTCCAGCTAGCCCGATTCCTATGACCATACATACTCACCTCAGCAAGGTGGCCAGATATTCTAGTTAACTCTTAGAATTGTATTCATTCTAAGTATTTCTCCATTTTTAACCCGTGAAAAAACATTCACTGGATTTACTGGTTAAAGCAACTCCAGGAAAGCATTCTGTCACAGTGCACTGAAAATCGCAGACTTAACTCACTTACCATGAATGAGGCTGTTTCCAGGGGATATTAACGTGTCCCAGAGGCATACATTTCTAATAAACAGCAACAGAAATACATCATAAACAACTGTGCTAAGTCATCACTAGGGGTACACTTGTCACCTCCAGTATCTTTACTTATTCAGTCTCACATTTGTTTGTTCGCTCACATTTATAAAGCAGTGATTCTCGACTAGGATGAAGGTAGATGCTTGGACAGGGGTGTACCTCTTCCCAGAAGTTTATCCTTTTCAAACTACAGGCTTGTGACTCACATGAGCCCACCTGACTCTGCCCCACCTCATCCCCCAGCCGTGCCTCTTCCATGACCACTCCAGGGAGACACGATTTCCTGAGTAGAAGAGGTGCTTCTCTACCCCCGCGGTAACCACTGCAGGGAAATGAGGGGCGTTGCTCATGGGCACGTGTTGCTAAGGAAACAAGGTGAGGCAAAGAAAATGTTGAGCATGATGCTCAAAACCTGACAGTATTGACAGCAATAAAAAATACCTTTAACATAAAAATTCCACATGCTTATTAATAGATTACATTTGGAGGAATTTTGGTCTTTTTGGTAAGGAAAACTCTTGAAGAATTACGTAACAAAGTTTTTGTATTCCTGCCGTAGAAAACCTCGACCAAACCGAAATCCACTCCATTGAGCAAGAATACCTTTCTGCCTAAAATATGCTTATTTCTTTTTTGCTTCGGTCAACCTACCTGTTGTCATTGGACTGTCCAGATGTAGCAACTAGACTTGAAGAGGTAACAAATGCAAAGTCACTTGTGGCTTTAGTGTGGCACTGCCAACTCTATGGAAACAAAGTACAGCTCATGTTAGCTCAAAATCCAGCAAAATGTGGTAGAGTACACACACAGCTCTGCTACTCATATACTCCATGCATGAGCAAAGAGCACTTTTTACAAATCTAGAATAAAGAATAAGTGGTAAGAGGATTAGCTGTCATCTGTGTATTATTTGGCTAATACCCAATAATTTTTTAAAAATAGAAGATTTGGTAAAAACATGGAATTAAAGGTTATGTTTTTTAGATTATGTAACAAAGGAATAAAATATCAAGTACAGGAACTTAACCAAGCAATTTAGTTCTATTAAGGGCTCAGACAACTTTTCTGCTAATTATCTAAAATACATTTAATAAGCTTTAAATAATATTAAATCATAATATTCAACCACTACCCAAAGAGGAAATGCTCATACTTGCCCATCTAGTCTTAGACGTGAAGGACTCCAGTCAAATTAACTTTGTCATCTAAAATACAAGTATCCACCTTCCTTACCACCTCTGTGCGCCCTGCCCTCATCCCAGATGAAGAGCAATTAAAAAAACAAGGTCAAAAGTGGTCCAGCAGACAATCCACAGGTTTAAGGCTACCCAAAACAGCAGCTGAGGATGCTCCAGCACTATGGGGAGTCACCTACTGGACAGGCATGACTTTCCCTCTTGGATCAGGATGAACAGAAATTTGGAGGTGAGGACCCAGGAGGAGGATGTCAGGCAGTTTACAATAAAATAGACATTTTTCTGTTTGGAATTATCATGGTATAGATATGGCTGAAGGCAAAAGGACACGTTGAAGATTATTTCCATTTCTGTAAAAACTTTATGATCCAGTCTATAGTGTACTAATTTAAAATATCTGGTGTCATATGCATAATTAAGAACACGTATAGAGGCTAGAAAAGAAAACTAAGATCGGAAGTTCTGCACAGAACAGCACCACCTTCTGCCCCCTCCATGTGTCCCAACCCCACCAAGCACAGATGTGCTTGTCCACATCACCACGTATTCTAACATGGTTTGCATGAATGAATGAAGTGGACTCCTGCGACTGGTTGTTTTGTGGTCTAGTAGGCAACATTCTGCAGCAAACTGGCAACATGGAATCTGCTGGTATTTAATACAGTACGTCAAATGAACCACTATTAAACTCTATCATTAAGAAGTTAAGAGTCTTCCAGCAACCTATAGTGAAAAGGAATATGCCTGTGTACACGTATGACGGAAACACTGTGCTGTACACCAGAAATTGACACTCACTGTAAACTGACTATACCTCAATGGAAAAAAAAAAGTTTCCAAAACAGATAAAAGTGTAACAAAAACATCCTAAGTAGGACCACACGTAGGGAAAGCTCCTACAATGTTTCAAATATAATGGTCGCCCTTCAAGCGTAAAAGGGCAGCGGTTTTTACTTTTTAGTCAGTTCACTCTAAAACTAGGGCAACGGCAGATGCTGGGCTGTGGCCGCTGGGCAGAACGGGCCCTTCCCCCACACACCCACCAGTGGGCTCACAAACAAGGCAGCCTCTGGGCGTGCTCTGGGAATGCTGAGTGATACTTACTTACCATGTAAGGTTTAGGATTTGATGCAGTTTGGTTTACTTGCCAGATACTCAGAAAACCCTCTCCATCTGCAACACCACACTGTAAGAATGGTGTAAATATTAAACACAGCCTCTGATCTTCATATCAAAGGTAAAAATCATTTCTGAAAAGGAGTCACTCAGTCCCCACTTAACATTCTGACTATAACTGCTGCAGTTCTCAAGAAAATCCATGTACTATAAATATCCTGCCACTTTTAAAATGCTTTTTTCTACGCCTATCTCATTGTTTTCCTCTAAACTTCTCTAGAGGAACTTAGTAAGAAACCGAGGGTTTCTCTGAGGTGCCTGACTGTGTGCACAGGCACCGTCACCACACTCAACAGAAACAGGGTTCTTTACCCTCCCAGAGTATTGAGAATCTGTAAGTGGATGATTAATTCACAGAAAATTCTGTGGATTTACACTTTTATTGGCAGCCAAGGGGCTATACAAACACTACCAAACTGCCTGCTCTGCTTAAATCCGGAGTGACTGAATTTGTTTTTAGATGTAGTTTTACTCATAAATATCTACCATTATGTTCAGAGGAATTTAGCAGCAACCCCCAGGAACTAACCTTGTTGCCTTGTGAATTAAAATATAACCTGGTAACTCTTGCATTGCCGGCCTGGCGGAAACAGACAAGCTGCTGAGGTCGTGTCCATTCAAACATGCGTACGCTGCCGTCCTGAGCACCTGTAAGATCTGAGACAAAAGGAACAGCAGAAAATAAGAAAGATAAAGAACGAATTCCAATACTTCCCATTCTATAAGCCAACTTCAGAGTGACAGAGGCCACTTACAATCCCTGGATCATAAATAAAATACTTACAGTACTGATGGACGGGGTGTGAGGTCATTCTCTTAACGTTATGCAGATTCCTTTTCATAAGCTTTAAAAGAAGACAAAAAATGAACTTACACTGTGCACCACAGAAGAGATGAGGAAGGGTATGCTTCAGGCCAACTCTAATTCTCAGAACATTTCTTCTCTTACAACTGGTTTATTACTGCAATAAACCCTCTTGCGGATTTTCAGACCCACTTAACACGTGACTCCGGTCTGAACAGGCTGCGGGAGCAGAGTCACTCCCTGGTGCGGCCCTGGCCTGTGTGGACTGTGAGGAGGCCCAGCCGCTTCCTCTAGTGACAAAGGGACCTCTCCCTCAAGTGCCCCTCCCGGAGGACACACAGGAGCACCTCCAGACTCTTCAGCGCAGAACACAGGAAGGGGACCCCGACTGCAGTGACTGACGACGGTACTGGCGCACGCTTTCAAGCTCTTCTAGCGGG